CCTGCTGACCTGCCCAGGGTCCTGCAGCTGGGACCTGGCAGAGCTAGCTGAGTGCCCCTCCTGGGGTCTGTCCTGGTGCCCTGGACTTGTCCTGACTGCTGCTCTCCAGCGCCTCTGGCCTGGGTTGGCCAGTGTCACACCTCTTGGGCTTGGCCCCATGGCCACACCACACACCTTGAACCTCAGGAGACACCTTAATTAGCCCAGGAAGCAGGCCTGGAAGGAACCTAGCCGGCACTCTCAGGCTGCGCAGCCGGGCCTGATCTGCCTCCTTGCAGATCAGAAAGTCCAGACACATAATTCCTCTCCCTGCCTCAGGCCCCCGCCTCCTGGCTCCCCACTCAGAAGCAGGGAAGAGCTAGGAGGAAGGAGCTTTCACAAAGAGCACACCCAGGAAGGCAGAGGCATCAGCCACTGTCTGCGTCCCGGCCTGTGCGGGTTTGGGCTGAGCCCTCCGGACCTGTTCTGGCGGGCGGACAGTGTGCCCTGCTGCACGTCCGCACCCCCGCATGGCCAGAGCGCTTGCCTGTTGCTGGGCAGCGGCGGCTCCCTCTTGGAGCATGGCCAGTGGGCCGGGGCCGGGGGCAGGAGAGTGGTCTTGGGGAAGCGCTGCCCTGTGAGATTGGACCGTGGGAGGGGCCTGGCACATGGGGGACAGACGCTTCCTGAGAGGCTGGGCCCGCCTCTCCAGAGAGGCCCTTCCTCTGCGAGGCCCCAGCTCCCCTGCTCGAGCGGGCACAGGGGTCTCCACCCAGGCTCCTGTCTGCACCATGGAGACAACAGCACTGGAGGGAGGGCTGGGAAAGATAAATGCACGTTTAGGCAGGGGAGCGGAGCCGGTGGGTGGCACAGACTAAACAGGACGAGGGATCAGTGGGGGCAGCTGAAGGGCCAGGGAGGAAGGGGCCGCCAGCCTGGGCCGGTGGGCCAGTGGAGGGCAAAGCCCGTCTCACCTGTGGGTCTCCCCTTGGCCAGCCCGGCCCTAATGCCCCACATGGAACGGGCAGTGCTTCCTGGACGCCCAGGAGTGTGGCTGTCAGCGCACCGCCGGCTGGGCTGGCCACCTCACCTCACGCTGTGTCCTCGCTTCCCTAGACCCCTGGCTGTAACGTGGATTTCTGATCGGGGCTGCGAGAGAGGAGGGCTCCGCAAGCTTCCCCAGTTTAGGGCTCGGGCTGATGCCGGGGGGGAAGATGCCAGGGCCAGCTGGCTCTCTGCGGGGCAGGGGGCCTTTCTGTATTGTAAGTTCTGAAGGCCAGCCTGTGGGTGTCCGCGCCGGGCCTGCGCCCTCTCGCCGGCACTGCTCCGGGGAGCTGGCACCAGACGGTGGGTTCTCGGTTTGCCCTCAGGGGCCCCCGCTGCCTTCCAAATAGAGGACGACCTCTAGGGACCTGATGGTGCTGGGCGGGCCCTCCCCGCGGGCCCCCCTGGGTGAGCGCGGGGTTGACAGCCGCCGTGGAGAATGGGCACCCACCCCGACCTGCACTTGCCTCCCCGAGGCTCAAGTCTGCATTTGTTGGAGTGAGTGGAAACCAGCCAGCCTCGAGGCAGCGGGCGGCGGGGGAGCGGGCAGACCCTGTCCCGGTGGGGCCGGCCTCAACCAGCTCTCTGACTTGACCCGAGCACATCCCTCGGGCCTCAGTTTCCCCTTCTGTAAACAAGACGAGCCACCTGGCGGGTTCCTTCCAGCCAGCCTGAAAGTCGCGTCCTCTGCCCTTCCCGTTGGCGGGGAGTAGATGTCCGTGCGTTACGGATGTTACTTTGTGCAAAAGTGACTAGAAGACTATAACATAGCCCCGCCGCCCACTGGTTCCACCCCTCGGTCTCGCCCCTGGGGCGGACCCCACCCTGTCCCTCAGTAACGCGCAGGACCTGCCTTTTCTGGGTTGATCCGTGTGGACGTTGATGCCCTGTATTTGCGGGTGAGGACCGCCCCCATCTCGTTATGTCCCAGCCTGGCTCCAAGTCTTCACATGGACTGATGATAAGTGTGAGTCTGCGGGGCCCCCTGTCCTGCCAGGATCACCTCTGTCTTGTACATTTTGTTTTCCCGGAAGCTAATTGTGAAGAAAAGTCACCTTATGAACAAGGGCATCCACCTTCAGACATCAGTTTGGTGGTGGTGTCGATTTCCTCCGACGGGAAGTCATCGGCCACGGTGCCCCTGGCCCGCTGGGGGCTGGAGGGCGGGGTGGGGGGCCCAGGGCTGGCCCATCGCGGGGGGCGCAGCTGCTCTCCCCCCTGCTCCTCTGGCCCCGTGGGGCTCGTGGCTGCCGCCCTGGGTTTATTTTGAGAAAGAAAAGCAGATTAAAGGGCAATAAGTAAGGCCCTTTCAGGAAGGCAGCTTACAGTGAGGTTTACAGGGGAACCCACGCCCTCAGGCCTCCGTATCCATGGTAGCTGGCCCGGTTCCATTCTGAGACTGAAGAGTTTCCCTGTAATGTGGTCATTTGTTGTCCTCTGCAAGACTGAGCGCGCTACCCTAAGCCTGGGGCCCTTCGCAGTCCCTGGGTCTCCAGCCGCTGCCCCCGCCCCTCCCGCCACCCCATCCGGAACTGCTGGCCTCCCTCCGATTGCCAGGGGGTGGCGCTTGGACCGTGAGCCGGCAGTGAGCCCAAAGTGGCCTCACCCCAGCGAGGGTAGCCGGGGAGGCAGATACCTGAGGGTGGAAAGCCTGGGCTGCCCAAGGCCCCAGAGGCGGCCGAATGCTTCTGCAGGACCCAGGGCCTGCTGGGGGCCGGGGGGGCAGCTTTGCAGCTGTCTCATGTCCCTCCTTGCCCCTGCCCTGCCCCCCGCCAGCGAGGGCAGGCAGGCCAGGGAGGGCAGGCAGGGCAGGGAGCTTGCAGCTCGAGGCCCCCTGACCTCAGGCAGCAGGACTGTCAGCCCTTCAGATCCGGTTCCTGGGGCAGCCTGGCTGTCTGGGGGTGTGTGGGGTACACTCTCTGGGCTCCTACCCCTAACTTCACCCACTGAAACCCCACTTCCATTCGTTTTGGGGATGTGAGACTTTTATGATTTCTTTAGAAGTGGGGTTCTTTTGCTAAAGGCAGGTGTGTCAGCTGTGAATGTAGCCAGCTCAGGACCCTTCTGGCCTCTGTGCTCTGCCAGCCCTGACATCTGGGCACCTCTGCCCCGGGAGTCCCTGGCTTTGGACGTCAGACAGCAGGAGGCTCTCTGCCGGCTGGGGACAGGGCAGCTTGCTGAGCCCAAGGAGGGTCCGGGGTACATCCTGGCACTGCCCTCACCTGCCGGGGTTCCAGCAGCTCCCCTGCCTTCCCTCTGGGACCTTGGTTTCTCATCTGCAAAATGGGGGCAGTGACAGTGGGCTGATTTCCTGGGAGCCCGGTGCTGTGGGCCTGCACTGGGGTAGGCTCTGCCCGCTGGGCTCTTCCTGAGGTGCCATATGCTATATAGCCCTCCATGGTCCTCTGGGAGCTACCTGCTCCCCCTGGGCCCGCTTTCCAGGCTGGAGACAGGGTGAGACTAGTGTAAGTACGGTAAAGGTCGAGAGTCTTCACATCAGGGTCACCCTGTGGACCACACGAGCTACGCGGGACCCTGGGGGTGACGGCACTCCCGCAGCACGCCCAAGCTGATGGGCACTGCCCGTCCACCAACTCAGAGGGCCCGGGGGTGGGGCAGGGCTCCTGGGGCCTCGGCCACCCTTGGCTGGTGCCCCGCCGCCTCCAGGGAAAGGCTTTCACAGCTTAGGGACAGACCATGGGATGTGCATGTGCTCTGGGCCAGGGCCACCAGGAGGAGGCTGGGGGAGCAGGGGTGGTCCTGGTCCAGACCACGCACAGGTCACGTCCGCGATCCAGCCTCCAGACCCAGGGTCAGAGGCTGGAGCCCAGGGCAGGTGACTGGCCAACTGTCTTCCTCTCTGAGGACGTGGGGGCCGCCCTGCCTGCCCCTTTGTATCGAACCACTGACATCTTTCGTGACGGGCAAGAAGGTTTGAGGCAAATTGCCTACAGCCACTGATTCCAGGCTCCTGCCCCCTCAACCCTTTGCCCCTCGCCCGTCCCTGGGCCCCAGCCAGGTGGCAGTCAGTGTGGAGGCTGGGCCCGCCCCAGGTGCCCGCACAGGGCCCCTGACCTGGCCCTGTCCAGGCCCGCAGCAGCTGCAGCCCTGGGCGGGGCTGCGTCCCACCCACAGACAGGGCAGGGCCACCGCGTGCGCCCACTGCAGGCGCTCGAGCCACCTGTGGGGCTGCCCACGGGGACTTCTTTCAGGTTGTGCCTTGTGAGCCGGACTGTGTGCGAGACCCCGGGGACACGGTGGGGCCGCCCCCCGTGCAGGGACCTCAGGAACGCAACAGGGTGCCTCCGGCCCCGTGCAGGGACCTCAGGGACACCTGTGCCTTCTCTTGGTCTCAGTCTCAGAACTGACCACGAGGGAAGGGGACTGAGGTTCCTCTGGGCTCTTCTGAGCATTTCCTGCCCCCTCGTCCTGCCCCATGAGGGTCCGTCGTTCCAGGAAGCCTATACTGCAAGGTGGCTGCTGTAGACGGGGGTTGGGGGTCGTGGGGGTCCCAGGGCTGGGGGACAGGGAAGAGAGGTGACCCGCTGAGCTTGGTGGCCCCAGCGTACGTTTGCAGGCTGGGGAGCAGGGGCGCCGGCCCACTCAGCTGCACTGGGGCCGTCCGACCCCCAGGAGCCTGAACTTGGCCCTAGGGGGTGCTGTCCTCCTCTCCTGTCTCGTGGAGCCCACCCTGCAGGCCAAGGGGCAGGGGGCTCATGGCCCCAGGGCCACAGGCACCGACCTCAGGGTGCTCCCCAAGCTGCCCCCCAGGGTGGTGGCCCAAGAGTCTAGCAGAGGCTGCGGGCGCATTTGGAAGGCGGCTGCCCCGTTTTGCATCTTGGGGCCATGTGCCCCACCTGCTGCGATTCCCCCAGGTCAGGGCCCTGGGGGCCGGGGAGGGGGGCTGTGCTGGGCAGCAGAGGCCGCAGGTGAGCGTGGGCGGCGGGGATGCGGCGGGAAGCGATGTCGCAGGTCTGCAGGTGCCTGTGCTCCAGGCTCAGGAGGAGTCGGGCCCTGGTGGGGACCTTCCCGGTTTAACTCTGGGGCGGCTTATTTCTGAGTGCGAAGCCGATACAATGCGGGGGGGCTCACCCCGTGCTGGACTCGGGAGTCCTGGCTCGGCGCCCCCCGAGATGTGGGAGGGACGGTCCAGGGCGCCCACGCTCCGCATCTCCACTGACAGGCGTCTCCCGGACCCCTTCGCAGGCATGAATGCTGCCGTCCGAGCCGTGACGCGCATGGGCATTTACGTGGGAGCCAAAGTCTTCCTCATCTACGAGGTAAGGTGTGGGCAGGGCGGTCCTCGCCCCACGCTCTGGTAGGGAGCAGTGCGGGGAGAGGGGTGAGGATGGAGGATGGGGCACGGCTGCCAGGCTCTGCAGTGTGGATGGGGAGTCCGCCTTCAGCCTGGGCGCTCACGGGTGGGTGCGCCCCCTGAGAGAGAGGAGGGCGTGAAGCTGCTGTTCTCCTCAGAGGCCGGGACCTCAGCCCCACCCGTCCTCCGACACCCAGCCCTCCTGTACCCTCATCACCTAACCCGAGCTCGAGCTGCCCTAGTGACAGCAGTAAACGGCCTCCTTACGCAAAGCAGCAGAGAATCATTGTTCTGCTTCGTTCTGGCTAAAGCTGGTGCGCCCTTTGCTTTAGCCCCCCAATTCCTATCCCCCCAAATCCCTATTTCAGATTTGGGGCAGACCCTCTCTCTCTCTCTCACACACACACACACACACACACACACACACACACACACGCAAGTCCTGGAGTTCTCTCCCTATTTCAGATTTGGGGCAGACCCCCTCTCTCTCTCTCACACACACACACACACTCTCTCTCACACACACACACTCTCTCTCTCTCTCTCTTTCACACACACACACACACACACTCTCTCTCTCTCTCTCTCTCTCTCTCTCTCTCTCTCTCTCTCTCTCTCACACACACACACACACACAAGTCCTGGAGTTCTCTCCCACTGTGTTACTTTGTTTTCACTCTTTGCTAAAATGTAGCAAATCCCAACCTGCTCTGCTCTCCCCAGAGCTTCCCTCCTCCCACCTTGGGTGTGTCCGCATCCCGTCCCTTCACTCTGGTCCAGGTCAGGCCCTTCCTCCCCAGCCTTGTGTGTATGGGGCTATTGAATGAACAGATGGGCGGGCAATTCTGCAGGCCCCTCCCTCCTGCAGAGTCCAGACCCTCAGACCAGGCTTGGATGACCAGGACCCTGCAAAGCCTTAGGTCATGTTTCGGGAGCACATCTCCTCAGAGTCTCAGGGACCTGTGGCCTCAGGAGCTGGGCAGGTGGAACCCATGCCCTGATAATGGTCTAGAACCTTCTGAAGGACAGGGTGAGACTCTTCAGGGAGTGGCCTAGTTTTGTGAACAAGTGGTCTCCAATCAGGGTGGGGTGGGTCCAGGGCCCGGCTCCTGGAGGTTGTACACATGTGACAGGGGCATCCCTTCACCTCCCTGACCCTTGGTTTCTTCTATGAGGTAGGGATGTTAGGGCGAAAAGCTAATGCAACACTGAGAGTTAAGGCACTTTTCACAGCCCCTGGCGCCGCAAAGGGCTCAGTGAACGGGGCTGCTTTAGTCACGTGACAGCCCAAACTGCACCTGTGGGCTCAGAGCTGCCACAAGGATGGCTGCTGGAAGTGCCCTGGGCCTGCGGCCAGTTCTGAGGCTGCCTGGGTGCCCAGCCAGTGGGGAGGGGAGAGGGGACACAAAGTGGATGGAGGTGTGCAAAGACATTCCAGAAGGTTCCCAGGCCAGGAGAGGAGGACTGTGTCTGTGAGACGTTGATTCCAGCTGGGAGCACCGTGGGGCTGGGGCGGGGCTGGCACCATGCTGGGGTTTTGCAGACTCGGGGCGGCCTCTTTCATCGCTGCTTTGCTCTGGACAGTGTCTGTGGCTTTTCAGGTTATTTTGCCGCTTCTCTGGGGGGAGGGGCGGGGGCAGGGTGGGGTGTGTCCTAGTGGCCAAATTCCTGACCGGAGCGAGAGGGGGCGAGAGGGGGCGAGAGGGGGCCAGGCCCGGCCTGAGCTGGGGAAGGTAGCTTGACGATCCCTTAGACGGGGGTCTCGTCCTGAGGCCCTTCTCCCAGCTGTTTCCCCCTCTATTCCCAGGGGTGGGAGCATTTGCCCTGCCCGCCCCCAGGCCCTGCTGCCCAGGACCCTGCAGGCCCCGGCTGATCTAATGACAAGTGTGGGAACGGAGGAGGTGGGTCGCAGAGCCGAACGCCAGGCAGGAGCGGTGGCTCACGGCTGCTTCGTTGGAGGGGCTGGGAGGGCTGCACAGAGGAGGTGGCCCTGCTCATTGCGGCTCGGCAGTGCCTCGTCTTTTCACCATTTGTGAAAGCATGTGTCCTCTCTCCAGACTCTATAAAGAGCTCCTGCTAATAAGAAGGGGTTGGCCACACGAGAACAGAAACAGGCGAGACACTGGAACGGTCCGCCCTCGCAGAGGCTGTCCAGGTGGCCTGTGGCTTATGTCATACCCGAAACAGCATGTGTCGTCAGGGAAACACAGGGGAGAAGCCCTGCAGGGACCACATACAGCCTCCGGGATGGAGACCAGCATGGCCCGGCGCTGGGGGTGGGGCGCTCTGAGGCCCTGGCCACGTTGCTGATGGACGAGGTGGCCACAGGTGCCTATGGGCACTGTGTGGCAGTGCTGTCAGTGGCTGCTTGCACACGCAGTGACCCGGGAGTCCTTTCCCGGGAGATACGGAGCGTTATTTCCAATAGCCCCAAACCGGATCCCTCCAGAATGTCCATCAGCGGTGGACGGGTCATAAACTGTGGGCATGCACAGGGGACTCCCGCATGGCAGCGAGCGCAGACACAGTCGCACGTGACCTCGTGGGGCATTGCAGATGCCCGACCGAGCGAAAGAGGCCAGACGCAGAGGGGACGCTGTGCTGTCATTTCTGCATCTAATCTGCACGCTTGGGAGGCAGGGCAGCGGGTGTCCCTGGCAGGGAGGGTCCTGGAAGGCAGAGGGGCTGCTGGGCGCTGGGCTGGATCTGGTTCTGACCCGGGCGCAGTGACCCAGCTGTGGCTCGTGGGCACGCATCCCAGGGCTGCCGGCGACAGGAGCGCTGCCGAGCAAGTTGTGCTCTGTGTGTAACGCGCTACCCTGCAGGCCCCACAGATCGTGCCTAGGGAGGCGTCTGGGCACGCCGGCATCTCCCCTGACACCCCTGACCCCAGCAGACCCCAGCTTCGTCCCTTGAGGCCCTGGGGGTGGAGGGGCCTCCGCGCTCAGGACCCCTGGGCCCACTTCCTGCCAGATGGGCTTTTGACCGAGGTTCCACCTGTCCTGCTGCTGTGGGCGCCCGTCTCACGCCTGTCCCCTCACTTTCAGGGCTACGAGGGCCTCGTGGAAGGGGGCGAGAACATCAGGCCAGCCAACTGGCTCAGCGTCTCCAACATCATCCAGCTGGTGAGGCCCGCGGCCCTTCCCGCCACGAGCATGCGTGTACACCGGGGATGTGCACACAGGCACATGGAGGGACGCACGGAGGGTTATGCAGCTGCACACACCACACGCACAGACACACAGAGACACACAGAACACACACAGACACACAGAGACACACAGAGGACACAGAGACACACAGGCACACAGAGGGACACACAGAGGGATATACAGGTGCATACACCAGACACACAGACACACAGAGGGATACACAAGTGCACACATCAGACACACAGACACATACATAGAACACACGTAGGCACACAGAGGGACGCACAGAGGGATACACAGGTGCACACATCAGACACACACAGAGACACACACACAGGCAAGCAGGCATACACACCATCCCGCAGGGGCTCGACTCCCGGCTGACTGTCGTCCGACCGCCTTGGGGAGGTGGGAGTGGGAGGTCATGGGGGTGCGGTGGCCCCGGGTTGTCTCAGCTTCCAGCTGTGGGCTCTGGGAGGAGGACACCCTGGAAGAGGCATGCTTGGCCTCAGCGGCCTCTCTGCGCCTCCCCCGCCTTCCCCTTCGTCATCCTACTTACTGAGGGCGGGGCGCTGAGCGCCTCGCTGGGGCCAGGGGTTCCTAGGAGCGGGGGTCTTTGAATCAGGTCTCTGTAGGGAGACCCCAGTCCTCCCACAGAGCAGGGACCGCTGTGGGGCACCTGTCACCTGTGTATCCTAGACCACCAGCTGACACCTGCTTATTTAAATAAGAGGCCTGTCGTCGTCACATGCTATGTATGGGTCAGCAGAGCAGTGGGTGACGGGCCTGGACCCTGGGTCATCCAGGCACAGCCAACCCTGCTGTGCCACCCACCCCTCCTGCCCAGGGTGGACGTCCCAAAGGGACCGCGCTGTCCAGGCGCTCGTGGGAGCGGCCCGTTTGCTGAGCCCTAGACGGTCCAGTGGGGCACGGAGAAGCCCTGTTCTTGGGGTTCATCAGAGCCCCCCACCCTGTGTCCTTCTGCTCTGGTGCAGTGCTCCCTGACTCCGTCATGGGTGGGGCTTCAGCCTCGGTACCTCGTCCTCCACCTCAGGGGTCCAGGGAGGGCGGCCATCACGCCTCAGGCCTGGATCCAGCCGTTGCTCTGCTCTGAGCCTGTGTCTGAGGATGGCTGTGGCCTCGGTCCTGAGAGACCGCCTGGGGAAGGAGCTTTAGGCCAAGTGTTAGCTGGGGTGCGAAGCTGCATGAAAGGTGGGCAGGTGAGGATGCGGGCTGGTGTTTGGAGACAGGTGGGGAGCATAGAGCATGGGGGCAGCGGGGAGGGGCGCAGGGGGAGGCTGGGCTGGGCCAGGGCCAGCTCTGATTTGCGTTTTCCGTGAAGCCTGGGGCCCAGGGCCCAGCCCGGTGCTCTCGGTGGTCTGGGGAGCAGCACATTGTTCCCACCAGCTGGCCGAGTGCAGGGGCCGGCAGTTCTGCCTGTGGGCAGGGTCTGGGGAGCCTGGGCTGAGGCTGAGCCGGTGGTGGGCCGAGGGGGGGGGCATGCGGACAATGGCATGAGCTGCCCAGGCACGCCCCTGCGTTGGTGCCCGGCCTTGTGGGCCAGAGTACATGCATGTGTGCGTGTGTGCACGCCTTACAGCCCTCAGAACCTGCTCATCCCTTACCTGTCGAGCCCCCCGCGCCTGACGGTGGACAGTCTCCTCCTTGCACACATGAGGAGAAAGTCTGGGGGGTGGGGGGGGAGGCAGACACCTGCCTAGGCTTTCGAGGAGCCCCTGGACTTGGCCCTCCGTTCCTTGGGGTCTCCCAAGCCGCCCCTGCCCAGTACCCGGGTCCCTCCGGTGCCCTGTTGGCCCAGGCCGCCCCTGCTCCGTGTAGGGCGGCACCGTCATCGGCAGCGCCCGCTGCAAGGCCTTCACCACGCGGGAGGGGCGCCGGGCGGCCGCCTACAACCTGGTCCAGCGTGGCATCACCAACCTGTGCGTCATTGGCGGGGACGGCAGCCTCACGGGCGCCAACATCTTCCGCAGCGAGTGGGGCAGCCTGCTGGAGGAGCTGGTGAACGAAGGTGGGTCGGCGGCGGAACAGCTGGGGCTGGGAACAGGCAGGACCAGAGGAGGCAAGATGCTGCTTGGCTGCTGGCCGGGAGTGGGGGGCCTGGCCCGAGATCAGGAGGACCCTGGGTGGCTCCAGGAGCCACGGGCCCAGGTTTGGCTGGTAGTGAGGCCTGTGGGGACCCAATGTCAGGGACCCCCAGGCAGTGCTGTCCTCCTGGTGCTGGATGGCAGTTCCCAGGCTGACTCACCTGTGCTGTGAGTGATTCATTCCCCAATGTGGGTTATGGACTTGTCACAGTTTGCAGAAGTGTGATGGTTAAAATTTGGTAACATAAGACACAGAGTCCTGGGGGGTCACCAGTTGGAAAGTGACCTGTTGGAGCTTCGTTGGTTCTGTGCTGCTCATGGGGGACCCGGAAGTGAGGGGTGCACTCTCTAGGGCTCCCCTGGATGTCTCCCAGAGGGTGACAAGTCTGTAATCAGTGGTTCAGCCACTGCCGCCCGGCCCCAGGACCCCTGCTGCGGGACCTGGGGACCTGACCAGGCTGCACTGCCGGGTGGGCTGGGGGAGGGGGTGAGGATTGGGGTCCGGGCCCCATGTTGTGGCCAAGGGGGTCGGGTGGGGCCGCTGCGGCTGCACCTGGGTTGGCCTCCTCCTTCCCAGGCAAGATCTCACAGAGCACGGCTCAGACCTATTCGCACCTGAGCATCGCTGGGCTGGTGGGTTCCATTGACAACGACTTCTGCGGCACCGACATGACCATCGGCACGGACTCGGCCCTGCACCGCATCATGGAGGTCATCGACGCCATCACCACCACTGCCCAGAGGTGAGTGAGGCCTGCAGCCCTCCGCCCAGCCAGGCCACCAGGCAAGCAAGCTTGGGATCCCATCTCCCGGCGAGGGGCTGAGGCTGCCCTTCTGCAGGGTCAATGGCTTGTCAGCGTAATTCCATCCCTAGGAGTCTGTACTGGCTGCCCCCAGCCCCCATGTTGGGGGAGACTTACAGTGGGGTGAGCAGAGGGGCTTGGGGGTCTGGTCCCCACCCTGCCAGGTTGTCCCGAGCCCTAGGTGGGCAGTGGCTCTGACAGGTCTCCTATGGCCCTGGGGCAATGGTGCACCCCACAGGGGGTCCTCAGGCTGCTGGCTAGTGACAGCCAGGCCCCAGCAGGGTGAATGGCCTTCAGCCCCAGGAGCAAAGATCAGTGAAAACCAGCGTGAAGCTGGCCGTGAGCCCGAGACAGAGGTGGCCCTTTGCCCAGGGCCTTGGCCGCCCTGGGAATGACAAGGGCTGTCTGTCCTTGTCTCTGTCTCTCCTGGGCACGCCCTTGGCGGAGCTGGGGCCATGGGTGGTGTGGCATGAGAGGCCAGGCTTTGTGGCTCAGCTCCGCTCAGGGGGACTTTGCACTGATGCCCTCTGCCCTTTCCATGTCCACAGCCACCAGAGGACCTTCGTGCTGGAGGTCATGGGGCGGCACTGCGGGTAAGGGGGCTGCCCGGGTCAGCCGGGGTGCCCGGGGCTTCGGGGCAGTGGGAGCAGGGTGCAGCGCCTCCAGGGCTCCTGGCACGTGGCAGGTGCTCACTTGATACTGTGGGTGTGAGAGCCGGGGTGTGGGGAGTCCTGACTGTGGGGCTGGGTGCAGCTCAGAGCTGTACCTCCCCTGTGACCCAGGGACCGGGGCCCGTGGTGTCGGGTCGGGGCCCACCTACTGCAGCCCCTCCCCCTCCCGCCCCTCCAGATACCTGGCCCTGGTGTCCGCCCTGGCCTCGGGGGCTGACTGGCTGTTCATCCCTGAGGCGCCGCCCGAGGACGGCTGGGAGAACTTCATGTGTGAGCGGCTGGGTGAGGTGAGGGCCCGGGGGTCTTCTCTCAGGGTCCCTGCCGTGAGCTGCGTGGCCCGTGTCCCCCACGAGAGTGTCCCTGGGGTCACATGGCCAGCTTTGGCCGATTCACTTCCCTCTGGTTCAGCAAGCATCTGCAAGTATCCCCCCCGGGGGCGGCACTGCAAGGAGTGGAGAGGGCTTCAGTGCCAACGCCCATGGACATACCCGGGGGCTGCCCCGGAGCACAGAGGGGCCTGAGGGGCACACTCACCACTGCCCCAGGCTCGTCTCTGCGTGGTCAGTGCTGACATGGGCGAGGGGCGGGAGCGGGGACACGGTCAAGCTGGCTCCCTTGGGCCCTGACCGCTGAGCCTGGGCAAGGGGAGGTGGCTTTGTGAAGATGGGTGGACGGGAACCTGGGGCAGTGGCTCCAGCCGAAGAGGCTGTGGAGGCAGGAGCAGATGGGGGTCTGAGGCCTCATCCAGGAGAGATGAGCAGGGGTGCCTGAGACGAGGTGCCTGGAACGCGGCACTCCAGGCCCTTCAAGATGGAGTTGGGGGGCTCTGGCACAGAACAGGCAGATACTCTGCCCTGGGCATCCCCGAGGCCCCCCAACTAGGATAGGCTGGCCCCTTGGCTAGGCCAGTGGTGGACAGGAGGGCTGTGACGGCGGGGAGAGGCGCCTTCAGATCAGGGGTCAGGGGGCACTCGAGGGCTGTGGTCTGGATTCAAGGCAGGGGAGCCCCTGAGACTGTGCACCCAAGTTCACACTCGGGCCCAGTCTGGGGCCCTAACGGGCTGTGTCAAACCCCAATGTCCTCTGCATCCTGGCCCAAGGGCAGGACGAGTGTGGAGGCTGCCCGGGGCCGGACCTTTTGTTTGTTCTGTTGTCCTGGGAGGTCAGTGCCAGGCCCTGTGTTTCCTGAAGGAGAGGCGGGCGGCCCGGGGCTGGCTCTGGAGCGTCCCTGTCCCTGTGTGACCGCGGTGGTGGCATCACTCCCGTCCGCTGCCGGAGGCTGCTCTCACCACCTCCCACTCACACCCCAGGGTTTTGTACCCCTGCCCAGGGCAGTGGGAGGGGCCGAGGGTCATGACTGGCTTCTGGAACCTTCCCCAGTGAAGACAAGGGTAGGGCCGAGCTGAGCCTGGCAGCGAAGCTGGCCAGAGGCCTCTGTCCTCTCCTTGGGGGGAGTCCTTGCACCCCCGGGTGGCCTTGTGGCCTCGCCTGGGTAGAGGGGGGCTCTGGTGGTGATGGTCTCTGGCTGACCTCGGCCTTGGCCTACTCGCTGAGAACTTGGGGCTGGGTCTTCCTGGAAGTGGCCTGGACTCAGGCCTGGCCTCACAACCTGGTTCTTTCCTGCTCTGTGTAATGCCCTTGCCCCACCCCGCCCCGGGGTTCCCTGAGCTTCAGTTTCCCCACCTGTTACGTGCAGGTGTCACCCTCTGCCCTGCCCACCTCCTGGGCTGCAGCGAGTGAGGTTGAGGGAGGTGTGGGCTCTTCTGGCTGTCTCCCTTCACTGCACCACCCCCACCTCCTCCAGGCAGCCCTCCGCTCCTGGCCCCCCCGCCCCTCTGTACCCGGGTCTTACAGGAGCTGCTCTGACCCTATCTTTCTCTCTAAGTCTCTCCGGGTGATTTGGGGTGAACATCTGAGGCTGGTGGATCAGAGTGAATCCCACAAACATTTGTTGAGGAAATAAATAAACAAAAAGTACTTTCAAATCCCCAAAGAGCTTTGCCTTTGCAACAGTTAAGTGACGCTAATTCGTCCATCACCAGCTGATGGAGGAAATCTTCCCGCGGTCCGCGGGGGGCGGGGGGGGGGGGGGGAATCCTCCAGTCCCCCAGCCCCTACCCCCAGGGGGGGCGGCGGGGGCCCGGTTCCCCCCTCTCAGTCCCCC